GGTGGGGGTAGGGGGTGGATGTCTAGCCCAAACTTCTTTAACAAGGAATACCAAAGGAGCAAAGTAGGAATAAATGGATTTGAAGAAAGAAGCACAAGGAAAGGTGCCTTTTGCGCGAGGGGAAGTCCAAGCAAACAGACTCAACCACAAATAACAATTCAGAAGCACAAGTGGACTCATCATCCCTTAACCCTCAATGAAAGCCAAAGTCCCAATTCAAAGACACCAGAAGAACCGGAGTAGATACAAATCGACTTTCTTTTATAAAGTGAAGGAGAACAAAGAGAGGTGAAGATATCTTTGAGGGGTTAGTTACCCTCCCAAACATCTTTCCAAAATTGAATAGAAAGCTTCATACCTGACTAAACTGAGGAAACAAGAGAGAATAATTGTGTATAGCCTTCCAAGTTGTTATGAGAGTAGCCAACATATGATGACATCCCACCCATCCTCCGAACAGCCATGAATGCTAGCCACCACCTCATGCCAAAACCTCTCTCTCTGAAGGCCATCTCCACAACCGCTTTCTTAGTAGAGCTTTATTCTTATGAACCAAATTCCCTATGAAATTATCCTTTTTCACTTCCCCGATTCCCACAAAAAATTCCTCATTACCTTTTCCTAATTTTGTAACTTCTCTACGCCTTGATCAAAGTCACTCTACGTCCTATAGAGATGTAATTCTTTTTCCAAGCCGCCAATCTTTTTTCAATTTTTTCAACAATAGTAACCCAGATCCAACTCTCTTTAGGGTTGGCACCTAAAGCAACACCTAGGTAGGTCAAAGGACAAGAACAGGTGGAACAATCCAAACAACCTGTAATAAGACTCTACCTTCCATTCCTCCGAATTTATTCCAACCACATCTTTTTTCAAATTTGATCTTCAAGTTGGAGGCACTCTCAAAGAATTTTATYATATTCTTAAGATTTGTCATGCTTCTTAGGTCACTTCCTTCATAAAAGATAACAATATCATCTTTTACCAATATCTTATACATGCAAATCACCAAACTAATCGGTCTAAACTCTTTGGAATGTTTAGCATCTATCTTTTTGGGAACAAGAGCTAAAAAAGTGGCATTAACTCCAAGACTAATGACACACCTATCCTCAAATTATCTAAAGACCTCTATTATCTCTTCTTTAACTACAAACAATCTTGATAAAATGCCATAGTGAAATCGTCCAATAA